AATACATTTTAGTGTCCATTGCAAAGGTGAAGTCATTGTAGATCCATGTGGACCACTGGTTGGGATGGAGAGGGTCTTGCTGTGGGGGTAGGAAGAGGACAGGCGAGAGCAATATTTCCACCCTCCCTCCTGTGTCTGCGAGCGTGAACGAAGAGGGTGTACTGCTCCTTGTCCTCAGACTACATTCCAGGGATGGAAATGGACTCTTGATGCCACTCCAGGGATCTTGGTGGGGGGAAAAGAATGTCCTAGGGCTCTCTTGAGTGGTAATAGGTAATAGTGACATAGAGCTGGGCAGGGGTGGGGGCGATTTCAAGCTCGTGGCCCTAACTAAGCTTACTGCATAGTTGACCCAATTCCAACCCTCATCTAGGGGATTCTTACTGCTGGCTTCTGTTTAGTGACTCTGGTTGTGTCCCTGCATCATCTTGATTGCTCTAAAACATTGTTTGCCTCATTGTGAAAGAGGCGACACATTCCTTCAGTTTTCACAGGAGCTCTTCAGTAGCCTCATGTACCTTCCAAGGCCTCTTGGTTGTCCATGTCTACCACAGGCTCAGGTTAAGTATTGTGCCACTTTCTACCGTTTACAGAGGTACTTAAGGTCTTTTGTGGAATTTGAGGAGCCAGTTGTCTTGTCTTCATGTGCAACTGGATATGTTCTTCATCCTTTCAAAGGAGTCAGCCTGCAACGTGTACGCCGTGGTCGGACCACAGGTCTATAGAGTGTTCCGTGAATTCCACAACACATTCTTGCAAGTGCTACGGTCTGATCTGTACCACCACCAGCCCTGTCTCCCATACATATTGTTGGGTGTATCAGCCTGCTGCAGCAGCCCCTTCAGAGCTACTGGCCTCAGTTCCTGTGAGCGCAGGCAGGTACAGTGGTCTGCTCTGATCCTCCTCCAGCCCAGCTTTCTTCCTCACGCTCTGAACCTCTACCAGGCCGTTCCCCAGACACAGTTCCCATGTGTGGGCAGGTGCTGTGGCCTGGCCTCTGACCCCAGACCCAGCCATATGTGTAGATTTTAGATTATCATAATTTATCTTGAAATCTGTGAAGTATGTTTGGGTAATTTTCCATGTTCTGTTGTTACTGTTAGTGCTTGTCTTAAGAAGGGTATGTGTAGGCATTTCTTGAATGAGCTTATTGGACAGTGATGAAATAAGCAAATAATTGAACTTTAAAGCACATGACACCTGTTTTCTGAAGCTGTTTCTAATTTACAGTCATACAGGTAGTATGTAAGAGTTACCAGTGATCCACAGCTTCTTGAGCCCTTGGTTTACTAATCTTGAATATAAAATTTTATCTTTTATGTTAGATTAGCTGCTGGCCAAAATGTTAGATTCACCAACCGCCAGGGAATTACATGAAAAGAATTGAGATGGCCTTTAGTTCGGGGAACCATGGTCACGGGCTTCCCTTCCCCGTGCAGCAGGAAGAGACGTGAAGGAGGGGGCTGCAGAGGAGGAAGAGTGCAGGAGAGACAGGGAAGGGGCTTTTTAAACTCTCCTTGACACGGAAACCTAAATGGGGTCACCTTGGCCCTTATTGGTGGGGGGATGTGGGTCTGTGCCCCTCATTGGTGCAGTGGTGGTCTCACCACCTGTGGGGCACATCAGAATTCCGCCATCCATTCCGGTTTTGGTTGGAGGCAAACTCCACCTTCTCTGGTTATCATGGTAGCCATTTTATACTTAAGGTTTATTCTGTGTTTGAGAAATCCTTCCTTGCCTCATGGTGATATGTGAAATTGTCAGGCCTGCTGGTGGCAGAAAAAGCCTTTTGCTAATGTAAGTTATCTGAAGACATGGACTGAACCATGTCTGAGGAATGATTTAGGGGGAAAAAAAAGTAGGAATGCAGAATGCCTGATCAGTGAATTGTTGATAAAGTTCAGAAGCAACAGAAATAAACTGTCATGAGCATGGGTTTCTGTTTGGCTGGTTACCTGGAAAACTGCATGAGAATGTTCAGGGAAGACAAGGAAAACTGCTAGTTTGGGGAGATTAAGTGTTGGTAATGACCTAACATCCCAGTTGTAGCGCGGGCCTAGGAAATGCAGCTTATTACTTAATGTCAGGATTGATTGAATAGGCAACAAGAAGATGCTTAATGGAGAAATGATGTTATTAAACTACACTGTGGCCATCATCCATGCTATTAGGATGACCCAGTTTGTCTTCAGAACTTAGACTTTTATATCCCAAAAAGCCAGGGTGTCCAAAACTCTTGTTACAAAGGCCAGGATATGCAAGCTTTTGTTAATCACTGTCTTGGGTGGAACAAAGAGTCTCTAGGGTTGGTTTTCCTATGTTAATTAAACTAGAAGACCGCCAAAAGGGAAGAGCAACTAAGCCAACCTGAACAAAGGGAGGAAGAAAGAGCCTCAGGGTTAGGAGGGCTTCTTGCACAGTTTAGGACCAGATGAGAGTAGAGCTTTGGGACTTGATTGCTCCAAGATAAACCATCACACTAGGTGTTCTTGGCTTATGATAAGCCTCTAGTCCACACACAGCTCCTTCAGTTAAAGAACAACTCCATCTAATTGAGTTTGGGGAAAATCCAAGAGATCACGGAAATCCTGTTATGAATTCTTTTTTGTCAGATATGTCACATTCCACGGAGATCTTTGAATTCGTGCTGCTGTCCTGCGGCATGTGATGAGAAATGACTTACCTATATTTTCTCAAGCTTAATCAATTTATTGTGTGTGTAGAGAGAGATGTAAACGACTTGTTGAAGGAATTGCAGAAAGAGGAAGAAACCTTTCATCTACTGGTTCCTGCCTCAAAATCTAGAGCCTCGGACTTTACCTGAGGTCCCACCTGAGCAGCAGGGGCCCAAGGTGCTGGGCAATCACTTGGTGTTTTTTTCAGGCACATGAGTAGGAACTGAATCAGAAGTGGAGTTGAAATGGTGTTGTACCCAGATTTTTTTTTTAAGATTTATTTATTTTTATTGGAAAGATCGATATACAGAGAGGAGGAGACACAGGGACATCTTCTGTCCAATGATTCACTCCCCAAGTGACCGCAACGGCTAGTACTGCACCAATCCAAAGCCAGGAGCCAGGAACTCTTCCTGGTCACCCTTGGCATGTGCAGGGTCCCAAGGCTTTGGGCCATCCTCGACTGCTTTCCTGGGCCACAGGCAGGGAGCTGGATGGGAAACAGGGCCATTGGGAACCCAGCACGTGCAAGGTGAGGACCTTAACCACTGCGCTATCATGCTGGGCCCTGTACCCAGATTTTGAGATCCCCAGAAATCATCAGGAGTCTGAAGTCAATGCAAACACATAAGGGCGGTTTATTCAGACAAGCCTGGGCTCCTGCCGGCAACGTCCATGTCAACAAATATCCTAAGCCAAGTAGAGGTACTAGGGTTGAACTGTAACCACTAGACTACTACATCAGGGCCAAAGTAAAAATTTTATGTTTAGGGTACAAAATATAGTAGTATCAACAAGCATTACATGTTTAGGTGAAGCTGTTTGTTTTATGTGTTTAAAAAATATATTCTTCACCTAAAGGAAGGACTTAGTTGTTTACTTTGTCTATGGAAAATAATTCAAAAAATGTAAAGCAAATCAGATAATGTGCAGTCCTATAAATTAAAATTCTATAGGACTATAGGAATATGTACAATTTTATGTTTATAGGAGTATCTGTTAATTTTTAAAATTTTGTTTTTACATTTTAAATATGTACTTTAACCAGTTATCTCAACAACCCTGTAACTGTTACTTTCGTTAATTGAAAATATTTTTAAAGAAAGTTTCAAGTAAGAAAGTTGATCATGATAAATTAGTAAGTTATAGATAAGCTTTTGGCTGGGTTACTTGTACCTTTGGTTCCAGGTTTTTATCTTGACTCTCTAAGAATTTATTGTATTTGATAAACAGAAAGCTCTTCAAATGCCAAAAATGGCTGAGACTGGTCTGAGGCTGAAGTTGTAAGCTGGACATTCAGTCCAGATCTCCTATATGGGTGGCGGGGACCCAGTTATTTGAGCCATCACTTCTGCTTCCAGGGTCTGCATTTTCCTACAGCAGCCAGGAGCCAGCGCTGAGCCTTTATACCCAGGTACTCCAGTATGGAACTTGAATCACTGGCCTCAGAACTGCCGGACTGATTTCCTGCTGCCTATGCTAGATTCTTGAGTTGATTACTATTTTTTTTTTCTGTAATCTTTTACTTGAAAGAAACAGGGAAGGACAAAGAACTTTCATCCACTGGTTCACTCCCCAAATGGCTGCAATGCCCAGAGCTGGACCAGTCTGAAACTGGGAGCCAGGAGCTGCTTCTGGGTTTCCCTTGTGGGTGCCAGGGTGCCAAGGCCTTGGGCCATTTTCTGCAGCTTCCCAATATACAGTTTAAATATAATCTGGTAGTGCTTTCTGAAAACCATTTACTATCCCATGTTGCAAGTCAAAGATGTGGATACTAAGACACTAATTTACTTTTCCTGTGCTGTGTGCTGGACTTTTTCCTAAATGATGAAAAGTATTACATAAGCTAAATAAAATTTGTGTGCTTGTTTGAACACCCATTTCTAGTTCATTGACTATCCTAATGCTTGTGTACTCATAACCGTTGAGGACTCATGGTACCACTATGTATTGTGAAAGCTCAAACATTAAGATAGGTTAAAAAGGTGCTGCATTGGCTTTGGGTTTTATAAAAAAAATACAATTAAATCTTTAAGCAGTGGCCATCTTGATTTATCAGCAGTGATTGATAGTGCTCACGTGGTACAACAAAAATGATCAGATAAATTTTCAGAGTTAGTACCAAATAGATGCTTACTGTGGTAATATAAAAATCTGAATCTTGGAAAAAGTTATTTTCTAGCTGTGGTAGATGGAAATGTGCTTCCTAAGAGAAGTAATCATCGAAAGCAAGAAAAATACAGCCTCAAGGTGTTTTTAAATATTGCTCAGGAAATAACTTGTTCACTGGAGAAATATATTTAACTATGATATTTTAAATTTTAGGTTATGAAAGATGGCCAGCTCAGATAAAAGTAAGCCTAAACCAAAGGTATTGAAAGCCAAAAAAACAATGCCTACAAGTTGCCGAAAGCAAGCAGAGATGCTGAGTAAGCCAAAGCATGTTGAAGCCCTGAGACCAGCAGCAGCTGAAAGTAACGTCAGTTTAAATAATAATTTCGTAACAAGTACATGTAGACATTCTAAAAATTTTGATGTCTCATTGGATTCCAGCAAAACCACAGTATCCTCACAGAGAGATATAGTACTTCCTCAGAGTTTAATGAAACCGGTTGAAGAAATTGTTCATTCAGAAAACAGATTGCATTGTACTAGTAATGAACAAGTTACATGTTCTAACCAAAAGCCGAGGAAGTCGGTAGATCCTGCCGGCGATCTCTGTGTACAAAAAGCGAAAGAATCACAGGTCGGTTCTGATAACCATTTTGAATATCAGGCATGTGTAACAAGTTCCTTTTTTGAACTTAAAGAGAATTATAATGTAAAATCCTTTTGGTGGCCACCTTCTATATTGGGTAATGTTCTCCAGATGCCAAATACTACAATAAAAGATACAGCGGATGGTGAGAGACTTGACAACATGGTTTCCACGACAGAAAAAACCTCCAATTCAGAGTCATCTCGTAAAACGCAAAATGACATTTTAAGTTCAGACTCGGACTTTGTGCCTGCTGAGAAAAGACCTAGATTGAATTCAGTCAGTTCCAGCATCTCCATTGCTGAAGACAAGAAAAATGAAGAAAATAATAAAACCTGTTATTTCAGCATTTCAAATTGTGAAAGAACAGAAGCAAAGTGGCAGTCACCACTTGACACTGATGATAATATCGGTAAGTTATCTTTTGGTGAAATTAAGATATTTTCCTTTGAGAGATTTTCACAACCTCAAATATAGCAAGAGTACGTATGAGTTTCAGCAAGGAAAAAACAAACGATGACTACTTAAATATCTTGTTTTTGAACCTTTTGTGTAAAAATATTTACTAATTTAAAAGTTAGTGTTAGGAGAAGACAAAGAGCTTAGCTGCACCGGTTTCCTCCAAATGGCTGCGGTGGCCAGGGCTGACGCAGGCTGTGTACGCTGAGCCTGGAGTTCCGTCCGTATCTCCTGTGTGGGGGCACAGGCCCATGTGCTTGGAACATCCTCTGCTGCTTTCCCAGCACATTAGCAAGGAGCTGGGTTAGAAGTGGAACACCCAGACATGAATGCTGGTGCTACAGGTGGCAGCTTAACCTGTTGCATAATTCCACTCCTTCTGAACCTTTCTTGCTGGAGAAAGGGAACGTATTGTTGAGAGAAAATTACAACAGATTTAGTTTTGCAGATCTTTATTTGCAAATCTTGGGATTGGGCAATAGCTCAGACCCAAAATGGTTTAGTTGCTGTTGGTTGACAAAGGAAGTAACTGGCATGTTGGGGGGTGAAGTAGAGACAGTCTGGCAGGTCCCAGCTGCGATCTCCCTTGCTTGAACGTGTCTGAAGAGTTGGCCTGTTATGATTGCCTGACGCTGCATGATCGCCTGCGGACACGTGAAGTTAAGGCTCATTTTATCGTATATCGAGAGGAACCTTTCGCACCAAACTTAAAATATATTCAAAGGCATCTTTTAGGCCAAATTTTATTCACTTTTTACCAGAATTCATAATATCAAAGTAGCAATTAAAAGGTGGCCTTTGTCAGTTTTGTTGTTTTCATTTTACCCATATGTTTTATTTTATTTAGAAATATGTATCTATATGTGAAAGGCAGAGTTGGAGAGAGGAGACAGAAGGCACCAGGTTTGCCCCCCAAATGGCTGCAGTGGCTAGGACTGGGCCAGGCTAAAGCCAGAAACTTCTATTCTCTCATGCGGGCCATCTTCCAGTGTTTTCCCAGGTTCATGACCAGGGAGCCACATGGGAAGTGGAGGAGCTGGGGTTTGAACTGACACCCGCAGGGGATGCCAGTGCTGCAGGCAACTGCTTAACCCTCCCAGTCACAGCACTTCAAACTCTGACAGGATTCAAAAGAGCTTGTTCAAAGAGGGTTTTTAAAATTGTTAGTGAACCCATTTCAGTTGACCTATAAATGATGTGTCAAGCATAAAATGCCAGTAGTACACATGGATGTATTATGAATGTGTGTGAATATGGAGAACCATACAACTAAATAATAAATGAAGTCCTAGAGTTATAAAACCATAAAGATATCAAAAGGAAATTTCATTAGAGGCATGGTGTTTATGTTGGTTATTGACATAGAAGAAGAAAAAAAATTTTTTTTTATCTCAGCTGTACAATGATCCTCATTTAAGAAAATTTAAAATTACGGCCCAACACGGTGGCCTAGCAGCTAAAGTCCTCCTTGAACGCGCTGGGATCCCATATGGATGTCGGTTCTAGTCCCAGCAGCTCCACTTCCCATCCAGCTCCCTGCTTGTGGCCTGGGAAAGCAGTTGAGGACGGCCCAAAGTCTTGGGACCCTGCGCCCTTGTGGAAGACCTGGTGGAAGTTCCTTGCTCCTGGCTTTGGATCGGCAAAGCACCAGCTGTTGTGGTCACTTGGGGAGTGAATCGGATGGAAGATCTTCCTCTCTGTCTCTCCTCCCCTTTGTATATCTGACTTTGTAATAAAAATTTTAAAAATCTTAACAAAATTTAAATTACATAAAAGTAATAATGGTATTACATACTCAATAATGTAGGATTGTTTAACTGTACTCATAGAAATAATATGCAATCATTTAGGTAACTAGAGAATTTAAATGCTAGAATATGCTGAGTTTTCACTGGCATACATGTATTTTTTTAAGATTTATTTATTGGAAAATCAGATATACAGAGAGGAGGAGAGACAGAGAGGAAGAGCTTCCGTCAATGATTCACTCCTCAAGTGAGCCCAACGGCCGATGCTATGCTGATCCGAAGCCAGGAGCCAGTAACCTCCTCCAGGTATCCCACACGGGTGCAGGGTCCCAAGACTTTGGGCCGTCCTCGACTGCTGTCCCAGGCCACAAGCAGGGAGCTGGATGGGAAGTGGAGCTGCTGGGATTAGAACCGGCACTCATATGGGATCCTGGTGCGATCAAGGTGAGGACTTTAGCCGCTAGGCCATGCCGCCAGGCCCCCATACATGTATTTTTAAAAATTTGATCATTTGAAAGGGCAGAGTTACAGAGAGGAAATAGTGTTCTATTCCCTGGTGCACTTTCCAAATGGCCACAACCAATGCACTTGGGGCAGACTGAATCCAGGAGCTGGACGCTGCTTCTGGGTCTCCCTCCCACGTGGAACCAACAGCCCAAGCACTTGGGCCATGCTCGGCTGCTTCCCCAGGCCATTAGCACAGAGCTGTATTGAAAGTGAAGCAGTCAGGATTCGAACAGATGTCGCTAATATGGTGACAGCACTGCAAGCAAAGGCTTAACCTAACATGTGGCAGTGCTGACCCTAGTGTATATGTGTTTAATAGACTGTTGGAGGAATGTATCTGATTTCAGAACCCTACCTCAGATACTCTTCTTTTTTTTTTTTAAATAGAATAGTTTGGGAATTTTTCTGTGCTGTTACATTTTTGTCATGTTTTGATTTTTCTATTTGCGTAGAAGATTCCTAAATTTGAAGGAATATTTTTATCTAATTTTGTGTCTCTCCAAGGCCAAAATCAAAAAAGGAGGATGTTTTCAGGAAAAGAAGAGAATGCCAAGCACATGAGAGCTTCAGAGCAGATTAATGGAAATGTTTTGCCTCTGGAAAGGCAAACAGCCTTACTGCAACAGGTACAAAAATTGCTATAAACAGAAATCCTCATTTTTGATGAGTGCAGATATTAAATTAGTGCATCTCCACAGTGACATAGTACAGAGAATTTCTTTGACGTGAAAGCTATAACCAACCAAAATTTCCCAAGCAATTCTGCAAACTATTTCAGAAACAGAAATGCTGTTTTAACGTAAAGATTTGTTCACTAAAGTTAGAGGGAGAGACAGGATGCTGTATATGTGGGTTCACTCTAAGTGGGTACAGTGGCTAGTGCTAGGCCTGCCGGAGCGGAAGCCGGGAGCTTCGTCCTGGTCTCCCATTGAGGTGGCAGGGCTCCACATACCTGTTACGTCCCACAGGTTTCCCAGGTGCATTAGCGGGGAGCTAGATCGGAGGTAGAGTTCAAGGCTCGAACCTGTACTCGTGAGATGCTGGCATTATAGGCTATGGCTTAACTTGCTGTGCCACAACACCAGTTCCAACGTGCATGTTAAAAGCATATATTCTGTGCATATGCATTCACTTAATAAACAGCAGGCTTTGTAAAGGACTCCTGCGGAACTAGCTTAGTAGTTGAGTCTTTAGTTTTTCCTTTTGCTTTGTTTCCTCCCAGAAAGTGTGAACAACATACTAATTCTTACAAACTTGTAGGGCCCAGCGTGATAGCATAGCAGCTAAAATCCTCACTTTGAGTGCACCAGGATCCCATATGGGCGCCGGTTCTAATCCCAGCAGCCCCGCTTCCCATCCAGCTCCCTGCCTGTGGCCTAGGAAAGCAGTTGAGGACGGCCCAAAGCCTTGGGACCCTGCACCCATGTGGGAGACCTGGAGGAAGCCCCTGGCTCCTGGCTTCGGATCAGCTCAGCTGTGGCCATCGTGACCACTTGAGTGAATCAGTGGATGGAAGATCTTCCTCTCTGTCCCTCCTCCTCTCTGTATATTTTCCTTTCCAATAAAAATAAATAAATCTTTGAAAAAATAAAATAAAATCCATAACTGTTGTATTGCTAGCTTGAATGCAAGTTAATTTCTAAAATGTAATTAATAAAATTACTTTGAAATTTCAGATGTCGGTTTTTATTTTAAAACTCTAGGTCAGACATTTGATTCAACAGGAGATCAACAATATACATTTCAAACTGTTTGACGACAAACTGAAAGAATTGAATGAACGCATTGGAAAGACACACTGCAAGATTAGACATGACACAAAAGCTACTGAACTCTTTGTAAGTTTCCAATTTGATTTAAATCCTTTTAAAAAGTAGAATCTGACTCCCAGTGAAATTAAGTATATTTTAAACAACAGTGCTCAATGTGGCTTGACAATAGGTTGCTGAGCTTTAGCACTGTCTATACCTACAATGTTAAGATGCACTTACGTAAAGGATGGACTTGGGACTGTTAAAGGACAGCACTGTTGTTAAAATATGGGGGAAGATGCTGAAGGGGAGGGTGGAAGGAGAAGTGCCTGAGCCCATGGAGCTATATCATGAAAAAGTTTTTAAAAGTTAAGTAGAATGTGGTGATATTTTTCCTGTTAGACATATGACCCAATGTAAGTCTAACATAGACAACTGTATTGTATTCAGCAGTCATGTCCCTTGAAAAATGCTCTGAGAACCACCAGGTATTGTGTGTGAATCGACCATTTTAAAAAGACATAAGCACTTTCTTTTTTATATATCTTTTATTATTAGAGTTTATACAGTCTGTTTGAAAATATCTTGGAATTTTTTTGTCTTTTATTCTTGTAAGGTTACTTGTTTTTGCCAACTTTAGTTCTCTTATGTACTAGTTACTATTCTTACTTACTGGCTAATGTTCTTACTTTCAGTTCTTCATTGTCATGCAAGCGTAGAATTAATTTGAATCTTTATGCTTGCATAGTCACCCTTCTGTATTGAGTTCCTGTGTCTATGGATTCAGGTAGCCAGGGATCAAAAATAATCAGGAAAAAATTGTGTCTGTTGAGCATGCACAAACTTTTTCTTGTCATTATTTTCTGCAACTCCTTACACAGTATGTACTAAATGTCATCTAGAGGCAATTTAAAATCTACAAGAGAGCGTGTAGGTTCTCTGCAAATATGATAACCATTTTGCATAAGGGATTTGAGCGTCATTGCTTGGGAAGGAGTGGGCCTTGGAGCTAATCCCTGGAGGTATAAAGAGACAACTGTATACATTTCTCATTTATTTAAAGGTGTTTAAGTCTCACAAAATTGCCCTATCAAATAATTTTCCCTCTACATTTTTTTTTTCCCCTCTACTTCTGTATGTCATGTTATTTAGTGTTCCGGTTTAATGTTTTTCTCTTTTAGACAAAAGTAACAAGGCTTCAAAGACGTGTTCAAGCAGTATTATCATTTCAGAGGAACCATACAGAACCAAATGTATCCAGTAATACAACCTATAAGGTTGGTATGAACACCTAGGAGTCTTCATAACCTAGTTGACTCACATTATTAGTAGTTGGCCTATCAGAAGTGAATATGTTTCCAAGCTTAGACACAAGGTGTTGAAGGTGGTATTTCTTTTCAGTAAAGGTAGTAGGGAGGAGATTGGTGATTGCCTAAGGTGCTCCCCTTACCCTAATGCCATCTTCGTATGAGAAGTAGCTAACATATACAGGAAAGTTGAAAGAATTATAATCAAGACACAATGTCTAGGTTATACTTTAAATATTCTACTAATTCTCATCACTTGTGTGTTAGTCTAATCATCCTTCTGCATTTTGGTATCACTACGTGAAAGTACTGATGTTATTCCTGTTGTCAAGGGGTCTGCACTCCACACCCAGTTGACCGCTAAGCTGGATGACTTTCCTCAGAACAAAGCCTGTACATCTGTCCCTGTCCCTTTAAAAATCCATTTGCTGGATTGCTGGAGAGAGAGAGCACATTTTGGATCAAGAGATCTTTTGCCCCAGGATGCAGGCTTCTTGAAATAAACTTTAGGCTAACACACCGGGGCCTGGAATTGTGTGTTTTAGGAAGTTAATTCTTTGTATTAGAATTAAAAAGTTACTAATTGTAACTAACTAGTAATTAAAAAGTTAATTCTTTGTATTTTTAACAGATTAAATATAGTTCATAGATAAAATTCTTAGAGTAAAATGATATATTTCCTCCCCCCATCTTTTTGATCTTTTTTTTTTTTGTGTTTGAAATGAAGTTTTTTTAAAAAATTTTGCATTAGTGTAAAAAGACTTAATGCTTCCCCAAATGAGTTTAGCGAGTAAAAAGCAAAAAGACACTTGTTTAGTGGGAATGCAGACAATGACTATCAACCATAGTTGAATGGAAAAATGACCATTTCACCCATATTCAATAAATTTGAAAGTAATCACAGATCATTAAAACTATAACAGTATAGTATTCTAACCATTGATTTGTCAAAAGGTGTAAAAGTTTTACAGAACTGCATTTTCAACAATACTGGTTCAGACAGGCAGTTGTTTGTTTCAGTTTTAGCTCCCACATACAAGGGAGGACTTGCGGTCTTTGTCTTTCTGTGTATGGCTTATTTCATTCAGTATAATGTCCAGTTATCTTCATTTTGCTACAAATGGTAGAATTTCGTTCCTTTTTATAGCTGAATGGTATATATCATATTTTCTGTATGTGTTCATCAGATAGACGTGTTAGTTGATTACAAATTTTGGCTATTGTGAGCAGTGTTGCTAGGTCTAAGCATGGTGATGTGTTCCTCACTTGGGTATATATACCTACTAGTGGGCTTGCCGGATCATATGGTGTTGCTGAGCAATTCCCCTAATGGGGTTGTTTATGATTCCCCAGTCCAGGTCCACTCACCTGATGCACAGAAAAACCATTCTCTGACAAAAGTGGTGGATGAAGTTGGTGTTTTATTGCAGTGCACAGGGCAAGACGCCGAGCAGCTGTTGCTTAATTCCCAGGCTCCCTAATAATAGGGATGAGAACTGAGGCTGAGACACACATACATGTAGGGTTCCTGACTGGTCTGCAGTGCTGTGCTGTTGGAGTCTGGTGGGCTCCAACCCGTGGGGATGGGGTTACTTGAATGTAGTTACAGAATTTCCTTGCAGACGATGCTGGCCATTAACGTTCTTTCCTATTGGAGAAGCAAGTGACTCTGAGGAATCTCTCCCTTAAGTCAGTGAATTCCTTTTGATAAAACACTGAAAACTGGTGAATTGTGGAGCTTTTTGCCTAAAAATTTAATTATTTCTTTCTCATCTTGTATCAGTTTTTAAGTTTCCTTTGCACAGTCTTTCATCTAAGTTGTGTAATTTGTTGGCATACAAGTATTTGTAAAACCTCATTTTGCTTTAATAGCTTTAGAGCTGTAGTGAGATAGTCTGCTTATTTTTGAGACGGTTCATCTGTGTTTGTTTTCCCTTGATCAGTCTTGGTAAGGATTTTAAGACTCTATTCTCTTTTCTGGTTTCTGGTTATTATTTTCTTTGCATACTTTAGATAATTTATTCAGTTTCTAGCTTCTTCCCAAGTTAAAAAAAAAAGCTTAACTTTTCTTCTAGAACCATTGAAAACTGAATTTGGCTTAGTGAAACTGAGCTCAAACTCCGACACCAGAGCTGTGATAAAATATTTTTGTTGTTGTTGGTTTTTGTTGTTTTTGTTTTTTGGTTTTTTGGTTTTTTGCAGTTGCTAAGATTGTGTTAGATTTAATACAGAATTTGGTGCCAGGAAGTTGAACAAAGACTTCAGAATGTAAGAGTGCATTTTGGAATTGGACGGTGGAACATGATATTTTTTTTTAAGTTGGAATGCCTTGGACAAACTCTTTAATAGAAATATGGATGCTGAAGACTGCCTGTGTGGTCTCAGAAGAAAATGAGTAAAGAAAATTTGTGCGATCTTCTAAAATAAAAAACACTATTGATGAGGAACATTGCTAGCTGTTGGAGAAAGGGGATCCTATTATGGAGCGCCAGTAAGCCTTAACTGAATCATGGTTATAAAGCAGTTGCATGGAAAACAGAACTTCTAAGCAGTGAACTTTAAGTCTTATTAGACTGATGACTTTTTGTGAGAAGTTTAAGGGAAAGTTTTAATACTTACTACTTCTGAAAGTGTAAGAAGGAAAAATCTGGAAAACTGTTCAGCAAAAAGGAGCCAGGGTTTGATTTTGGAAAATTCTCAGCCTATCCAGATTGCTAGATTCTAAAATTAGAAGCTCTTTGTCAGAAAAGCACGTTCTGAAGACCAAAGGTGTAGCTGAATAGCCCCTTGTCGGTGGCTTGGAAGCATCAGCTGGTCACAGTATTTCGCCACACAGAAGGCTCTTTGAGGACAGTGGGCAGATATTGTCCCAGCAGGTGTAGGTATAGATACAGTGTAGTAGGCCCTGGCTTTTTTCTGTGAACTTAGGTCCAATCATAATTGGAAATTCCTCAAAGTTCTTGCAGTATTTTCCTCTTTAATATCATTCTTTTGGCCCCAGTAGGTCTCCCATTCGGTCCCTGCACGTGTCACCTCCATGCGCAGTGATGTCACTGCAGTAGATTGGCCTGCTGCTGTCCCTGGTGTGGAACATACCCTACCACTGTTCCACGTGAGAGTGGCCCTGCTGCCACTGCAGTGGCTTGGGCTGCTGTTGTTCTGAGTGCGAAGTTCTGGAGATTGACCCCTGTCTGATGTATGTGAACACTGCCACAGCCCATTAGTCCTGTGCTGCTTCACTGACACTGCTTGGGGAATTGGACTCCCTGAGAAGTAAGGGTAAGCCACCACTGTCACAGGTCTGGTTTTTGGCACCGTTGGCACCTGGTATAGGATATATAAAAACTAACAAACACTCAGGCCCCTCAAACGTGATGTTGATCCTCCCTTGTAAGATTTTCAACCAGACTCTTCTCCCTCAAACCTTTCAGAGTTTGATGATTATCTGCTGAATTATTTCCATTGTAAAGGTAGTTTGGTGGAAAAGCAGATGAAAGGGTGTCAGGGCCACTTTGTCCTGGAATTGAAAGGATATCAAATATTCCTATACCTATAAAACCTGTTCATTTTGTAACTCTGTATATCTTCATTTTTATTCATGTAATCCCTTTGAAAAGTCCATAAATTGGGCAATCTGTTGGTTCTTTTGGATTGGTTAGTAAATAAGCATTGTAAATGCTACAAGATACCAGGTTGGGTACAAGTGCCAACATGTTTCACTCTGAGTTTTAAACTAACGTACCAACTAGACGAACATATTGGTAGTCTTATTTCTGTTTGATAAGTTTAACAGAAATTCAAACTTTCCTTGTTGAAGTCTGAGGTTTATTGGTTCCCAAAACTAATAAAAACTTGTGTAACATAGCTTTTTTAGTTAGTTTTTCCTTTGTATCCACAGTAAGAAATTGTATGTACCACCATTTGTTTCTTTGTAGGATTTTTAATTCCTTCTGAAAGAGAATACTCATCAGCAGCAATTGAAATTATAATAATTTACTGTGTTTTGCTGAACATATGTGGAAATATTGAGAATATTTGCCAAGTGAAAATTATCTATTTTTAATTTTACCTTCCTCAACTTCTTTTTTCTTTAACCCCTTTTACCTATTTTGCCCACTTAACAGGTTGCAAATTCAGAAACCGTAAATCTGGCTGAGAATCAGTCAGTTAAAAGTCTAAGTGAAAGAACGAATTCTGCGAAACATGAAGCTTCCAGCCCTTTAGAAAAAGCAAGTGAAAATATTACATTGTCAGCAGATCATGTTGAGTTTGTTTCTGAAAGGTAAGCATTTCTACAAAAAGGACATTTTGTTTTGCTTTTCTAAGATTCATTTTTATTGGAAAGTCATTTACAGAGAGGAGAGACAGAAAGATCTTCCATCCACTGGTTCACTACCCAAGTAGCTTCAGCAGCCAGAGCTGAGCTATTTGAAGGCAGGAGTGTCCTGGGTCTCCCATGCAGGTGCAGGGTCCCAAGGCTTTAGGTGGTCCTCTGCTTCTTTCCCAGGCCACAGGCAGGGAGCTGGACGAGAAGTAGAGCGGCCGGGATATGAACTGGCACCCATGTGGGATCCTAGTGCATACAAGGTGAATACTTTAGCCACTAAGGCTACTGCACTGGGCCTGGACAAGGTTATTTATGTGAGTATGTTTACACATATATACTGTTTCTCAGTTCACCATCCTTCAATTAAAATCTTCATATTTAAATGTAGACTTTTCATCTGTTATGAAGGTAGGATTGGATTTTTATGACATTACTAAATTTTGCATTGGTTGTGTTATCAGGGTTTTCCTTTACTGTGCTGGTTCTCATAACTGATAATAGTGATTGTAGAGATCCCATGGCTCACTGCAGTGCCTTCTGATTCTATTCATGAGCAGACCACGGTGCTACAAAGCAGTAGCTTTAAAAAGTTACACGAAACAACAGGAAGACTAGGGAGAAAAATACCCAAAGTTAGTTCCTTGCCTGTTAGAAATAATATTATGATAACTTCAAATAAAGGTCAACATGTTAGTTTGTTTTACTAAGTCATAACGTAGCTGAGACTTCTAATCTGTAGTCTAAAAGACTTGAGGCTGAGAACTGGTAGGATTATTTTCACATAAAAACATGATATGTGGTCCTGGCTTGGATTGGGGCTGTGAAGGAACAATATTAATGAGTTTTTTTCTCATCTTTGGTGATTATCAGTAGTTTGTGAGCTGTATGGTATTATTTATTGACATTGATTCCTTGGAAAGATTTTCGTGTTAAATAGACGAAAATATAATGACCCCACTGTTGGAACAGTATCATCCATTGAAACAACTGTTGCATGCACAGGGAAGCTGTAAAATAAAGGAGAAGCATTACCAGTCTACCCCAATCATAGCCAAATTCTTAGTGTTTGCAGGGGCTTATGTGCAATTTTGACTCTTTAGGAGGTACCCTTACATATATATACAAGATTGAATTCAAATATGTAGGGAATCAGTTGTATACTTCCTATATCAGCAAGAAATTAAAAATTTGAAAAGCTATAGTATTACAATATCAAAACATCAGGTACATTCAATCAGGGATTAAAACTGAATAAAATTTAAAAACATTGATAAAAAATAGTTCAGTAGATGTTGACTTTTTGGGCAAAGCAGTATTATGAAATGTTTAGACTTTTAAGTTAATTTTATATATAGAGTAGAACTTCTGTCAGTGTCCAATGTGATGTTTTATGCATTAAGCTGAGTTATAAAATGTATTTGTAAATGTAGTGGGCTAAGAAGCCAAGATAAGTGAAATGATAAAGTACAAGGAATTTGCTATCAAATGGCATATCAGGATACTACAAAGCTACAGTAATTAGGCAGACATTGGCAGGTGCTAGACAAGTGGATAATTGTGAAAAGTCCAGACACCCAGACATACATGATGGCGATTGTATATCAATTTTTTAGTGATTTAATCCTCAGCAAAAGATGCTATTTTAATTTGCAAACAAAAAAAATGTGACACACTACCCCTTAGAAAAACAATAATTTCTGGATTGAGGAGCTATCTAAAGGAAAAGCATAAAGGTCTTAGAGTAATAGAATGTGAATTTGGATACAGGAAGATTTCTCTTTTAAAATTGCTATTTATTTGAAAGACATAGAAACATAGAATTTCATCTGCCTTGTTCACTCCCTCAGTGCCCACACGAGCTGGGGCTGAGCCAGGCTGGAGCTGGGAGCACAGTCCCGGTTTCCCACATGGCTGCTTCTCTAGTACAACCTTACAGGAAGCCAAAATTAGGAGGCCAAGACTTGAACACAATCCAGTGTGGGGCACTGATGTCCAAACAGCTACCTAACTACTGCACCAAATGCCTCTGGGGAAAGATTACCTAACACAGACGTTCAAGGAAAAATCAACCAGTTGCCAGATTACAATGAGAAACTTCTTTTCAAAAATCCATCATGTGGGGAAAGATACTCTGAGCACATGTATCCTGTGAAGGACTGTTACCAGTGAGCTAGTGCCAGAGGAGGAGTTCAAAGTGTTTGACTGTTACTGATGAGAGAGCGGCAAGAGAGAGTTCAAAGTGTTTGAGTGAAAGCCAAATGATACAAGAGAAATCGGCAAAAGACATGTATGACCACTTCATGAGAAAGGAACACCAAATGGCCGTCAAACATGAAAAGGTGTTTAACTTAGAATTGGGAAGATGCAAATTAAGACCATTGTGAGAGAATATATCAGCAAGGAGAAAATAAAGCATTTCAAAATCTGACAATACCAGCCATTAATGAGGTTTGAAAGTAAAGGGAATGAATTGCTGTTCTTTAATATTTTGCTACGGGGTGCAGGACTCTAGGGACTATTTGACATTACCTATAAATAATGAAGATGTATATATCACTGGTGCAGTAGTTCCATCATTTGATTGATAGACATGTGCAACAGGATGCCTCTGTAAGAAAATTTATTAGGAGCTTTTTCCATTAACAGCTGAAAACCAGAAACTGGCAATCCAAAAGATCATATATGGAGAAATCTGTCCACCCCCCAGTTATAGAAGAAACCCTAGTGCAATCCAGACAGGTGGAAGTGGTACAATAATGAATAGGAAGGGACCTCAGACACATGGGAAAATTTGAGTTTACGCCCACAAAAACATTGTTGAGAAGTAGCCTAGAAAGAATAGTATGGTTCCATTTAAGAGAAGCTCAAACAAGACAAAATCTATTACTTAGGGATCTAAAGCTAGACACAGTATAGAGAGCAAAATAAGTTATAGCTGTACATGCTGTTTATGAGGGCAAGTTTATTTTAAATATTTACATGAATGATTTTACTACATTTTGAGTAACAGATGTTATAATTATTCAGTAGAAAATGTATTTTTTAAATCCTGTATGAAAATTATTCCCTTAAACAAATATTGTACTTAACGCAATCCTGCTGGTGTGTGTGGGGCTCATAAGTCTAATCTTAATACTTATTTTCTGTTCCATCTCAAAATTTATTTTCACTTACCTGAAGGCAGCGAGACAGACTATCCACTGGTTCAGTCCTCAGATGCCTGCATAGTCAGAGCTGGACCAGGTCAAAGTGTGGAATCCAGAACATTCGGGGCTGCCACTTGGGTGTCTGAGCCAAGACATCCCACTTCTCAGGGTGCACGTTAGCAGGAAGCTCATACGGGACGTTGGCGCTTGCAGGCAGATTAGCCAGTTGCCATCATGCCGGCCCCTAAATGCAGTTTGATAGTCTAGTTTTCACATGGATGCTGCATCTGTTTTTATTATTTTCTTAAAATCGTTAACTGTCGTTATTTTCATGCCTTTGGACATCCTGTAGATCGGTTTTTCTGTGAATTTCCAGGAATCTGTGGACATACTTGATAATTTCTGTTATTGAGGCTATAGATGACAATCTTGCTATAGATAGAGTGCGCCTCTGACTGGCCTCCCGTCAGCGCAGGCCATGGAAGGCACAGGTGATGGCCCTGTAATCGGCATTGGTCCCAGTCCAGCCTTGACTGTTGCAAGCATTTGGGGAGTGAATCACAGATGGGTGCTATCTTCTTGTCTCTCTGATTCTCATTTAATCTGCACAGGAAAACTAAAGGAAATGAACAGTGAAAAATAAAAGAAGTAAGAATAAAAAAACTTTAAAGGACAGACGTCATCCATTAACCAAAAAAGTACTATTAAGCTATCATTCAGCTATCATTCCATCCAAATTGTTTTGTCCATTTGATAGAGTCTCAGTCAAAATTCCAGCAGCCTTTTTTGTAGAAAGTAGCAAAGGTGTTGAAAAACCTTTATGAAAATGCAAAGACTTTGAAGATGAAAACATTTTTATATAACAAAGTTGGAAGGCTTAGACTCCCCACATTCAAGACTTACTCTAAGGCTGCAGAGCACTGGCTTGCCTAGGGGAGGTGTTATCGCCCAGTGAGCGGGCATGAGCACTTGCAACCCCTACCTTTACAACAAAGATGCCAACACCATTTAGTACACAAAATATTTTCAACAGATATTGTTAGAAAATAGAGGGTGAATGTGATACCAAATCCAAAATTAACTCAAAATGTGTCAGGCCAAAATGCGAGAAAATTGTATAATAACGCTATATAGAACATTGATGAAGCATTTTGATGAGCTTAAACTTGTAAAATGTCAAACTTGATACAGTATGTACCCTAGTAATTATAGTCAGCTAAGACTCCCATATCAAAATACATGGAATTATTCAATTCCAAACGTAGCTCCTGGCTCCAGTTTTCCTGCAGAGAGGAAGCAGTAATACCCCGGTCATTAGGTTCCTGCCATTCGTGCTCAAGACCTGGGTGCAGCTCCTCCCGGCTTCCCGGCTCCCCAGCTCCAGCCCAGCCATGGCTGTTGCAGGGATCTGGGGAAGAAACCCGACAGACAGGACATGTGCGTGTCCGTGCATATGCTTAAAAATTCAGATTTGATACAATTTATAAAATGTCGGGGTGAAAACAGATCTTTAGCTCAGAATATTTTATAACCATAATCAGAAGTGTTTGCTATCACTGCTTGAGTTTAGAAAATTCATGGTAAATATTGCTGCTGGAGTGATATAACGGAGATTAGTGGGTTTTTATTGTAATGGCTTTCTTTCCAGCTACATGTGTTTGGGCTAGTACATGTGCTAGTGAATTTTGTGGTTTTTTTTTTTTTTCCTATTTAAACACTGTATGTTTGATATTCAGTGTGAATAAATCCTTATTAAGTATAATGGGTCTATTGTTACTGGATTTCCTCGAACTTTTAGCTATATAATTGGATCGGTAATACATTCCTGTTCACAATTGCGCAATTAAAACATGTAATAAAATGCTAATGTAGGGGAATTATAACCATTAATTGCATGTTTAAGCCTGATTATGCATGTTTATTTTTCTTTTCAATTTTATTTTAGTAACAATGATGATGTTTTGTTGATTTCTGTGGAAAATCCTAATTTGACAGCTCCAATTACATCAAAACCAACAGGTATCTTAAATTGATTAGCATATGATCTACCAAATTCAAAAGTTAATCTTTATGAAAAATCTTAATTTATATTTATTCTTTGAAATGTTCTAATTTATATCTGTTGAATAGTACCTAAATAAACCAGTGATTCCTAATTATCATTCCTTTCTGCTCATTTTATTGGTTTAGGACTTTTGCACTGTGTTTATCACAGCTTCTGCAAGCCATAAAACTGTGTTAACGAACATGCCTTTTTGAATTGCCAGCCTTGTCTGCATGCTAGTACTGCTGGTTTGTTTTTTGTCTGGTTTATTAAATTATCTTGTAATTCACCTATTAAATAATCTTGTAATTTACATTAGGTCTAAAGCTTGTCTTTTTCTTAGCTTTGATTTCTTTTGATTTCTGCCTTTTTTTGTAACACTTTACTGCTTTTTAGAGTTTGTAGGTTTTTATTTCTATGAAACTTTCACTTTAGATCTCCAGTGAGAAATTTCTTGTTGCAATAGCCATCTTCTCTGGCCCTGAAGTTTTTATCAGACATCCATTCTTTACTATATTAGAATATTCACATTTTAATTTTAGAACACTTTTCCTCCATTTCATGTCTTTTTAAATATAGGTGACTGTGCTGGCACACTGGTCTGGTTAACAGATTTAGCAGTGACCAGGCCCAGGGCGCCCATCAGCTATTAGCTGCCCCTCTCCAGTAGGGTTATGCTTGCCTAGGATAGTGCAGCCTCGGCCACTGCCCACAGCTGAGAAGAGCTTTTTTTTTTTTAATTCTATGGTATAATTTCGTAGGCTTTTTCTCCATTTCTAAAGCCACTTAATTGTCCTCTGGTTTGGGCTGTAACGACAGAATCAGAGATTACTAAAGATGTGAAGCATTTTCCTAAGGCTTCCTGCCGGCCTCGAGAAGAAAGTTCTTCAGCCATGTCAAGCAGTCCATTCTGAAGAAAACAGTATGTTCATTTCCAAGCTTATTTTTTCAAATGCTGGAATATTGTCCAGATAGATGCTCAGGAAAAAAAAAATTACTAGTTATTTGTAAAGTTACAGAAGCAAAAAAATCTTTTGATTCATAATTACATTTTATAAACTGTATTCACCATCTTTGGGACAAGGTCTAAAGAATTACTTTTATAATTATATGAAAAGAGCTCATTAGCATTCCCATTATTGTGTTTGAACAGTCATCTACTTAATTCTCTTTCAGATCTGAGGAAGGTTTCGTCAACAGGAAATTCTAGCAGTTCACTTAATGCTGACACAGAAGTTATGGTGGGTAATAAATAGTATCTTTGATTATTCATTTAAATATGTTCTTGGTGTTTTAAAATGTACTGTGTGTACGATAACTTAGTTTTGTCATTCATTCTTTTCCTGTCTTCACAAATGAGGTGAGGGTGGTTGCTTCAGTGGGTGCTGCATCCCTAATCATGGGATGTTCCAGTTAAGATTAAATATTATATTAATGAGCTGAGAAATTGCCTGAGTAGTGAACGTAACCAGGTTCCCATCCAGCTTACACATTGTTAAAGTCTGACACATTAACATAATTGAGAAATTTGTGACTAGTTAGCATAACCAGGTTCCTATCCAGCTCATAATGGATTAAGGTCAGACTGGTTAGAAAACTAGTAAATTATTGTGTCTTCAGTTAGCATCCACCATGTTTCTTTCTAGTTTATAGAATGTATTACTGTAATTGAGAAATTAATGTCTGAATAGTTAACCATAAGGAAGTTGTGGTCTAACTTGCACACTGCATTAATGTCTGACTGGTTAACATTAACTGGTAAAGAAATGTGTGACTAGCTAGCATGACCAGGTTCCAGTCCAGCTTGCACATTCAGAGGCAGAGAGTTCATGGTAAACAGTTGCAGCTGTACACCAGCTTTGTTTAGACTTTCTTACACTCTCAGAAACCATTCAACAGAAGAGGTTATCTTTACTAAATTAAACCAGTGTTCAATTTCTAGCTTCTCAATCGTAGTTTTAAAATTATATCTCACTTTTTAAAAGCATCTCTTAAAACTTTGTGTTTTTTTTTGACACCTTCTCAGGCTACAGAATTGAAGAAACTTGATTCTATAATTGATTTGACAAAAGAAGGCCTATCCAGCAGCAACAGCGACACAAGTAAAGGACTTACTTTTTCTTTTAAATATCTCTTAAGAAAGTAGAAAGCATAATACCTGGATTTTATAAATACTTAGAAACTTAGTCTTATTGTGCTTTCATGTGGATTTATTTTAAATTGCTTGCAGTTTTATCACATGTAGATTAACTGTTCACTACAGTCTGAGAGTAGAACTGTCTTTGCCATGTTCCCCTTAATTAGCCATACCTACCTCCTGTTCCCAGTCACTAACCCTAGCAGCCACTTTGTGATTAATTAGATATAACTGAGTTTGTGAGTGTTAGATAAATGCAGTGGTACAGTCAATATACTGAGACTGGCATTATTCCTTCAGCTTAATTCTCTTGAGCATTATCTACCTTGTTACGTATCACTAATTGCTTCTGTTTGTCGCATCGTGGTGATAGACCTGGGTATGGATTTCCCATGATTGTTTATCCTTCACCCATTGGAAGGCCTCTGGAGTGTGTGGGGCCATCGTGAGCCTCTTGTCCCCTGACTGAAAAGGGAGCACAAGAAGAGATGAAAAGCTTTAGAAGGAAAGTAGCTGCAGAACCCTTTGTCTGAGATGTAAGCAAAAATGAAATATACTCTCCTGGGGCTAAGATATAAGTAATGAAAAGTATAAACTCATGTTTAATAATTTAAATAAACTTAAAGATAAACGCAAAACCATAAAAACACATCATAATCAAGTTCCTAAAAAACAGTGATAAAAATTGATATACTACAGATAGGAGAACAGAGAAGTCCCAGATTGCCGGCTAAAACTATACGAGCTAAAGGAACGTCCACTGACTTCGTTTAAAGCCTGGGGGACTATCCGCCTAAAAATCTGTAGCCAGCAAATGCATACATCCTTCAAAACTGAAAGTAAAATTAGGACTTTTCAAATGAAATGTATTGCCAGTGAATTTTATCAAATGCTAAGTTCTTTAAGTAAAAGGAAAATAAAGTGTTAACGTATGAGAACAACAGTGCAAAGGGGAGGGTACGGGAGTGGAAGTCTTGCTGTTAGGGTCTTACATTAGATCAGTTGTTTGGAGATACAGGTAAGTTAAAGATGCAAAAAGTAACATCTGCAGCAACAGTTTTCTTTTTTAAGATAAACAGAGGAAGATATTCCATCCGCTAATTCTCTCCCCAAGTGGCTGCAATGGCCGGAACTGAGCTGATCTGAAGCCAGGAGCTTCTTCTGGGTCTCCCACACGGGCACAGGGTCCCCCACGGGACTTTCCATTTCTCCCTCTCCCCTTCCGCCCTTCCTCTCTCTCGCTCCTGCTCTCTTTTGCTCTAGCTTCATCTCTTATCTCTGTCTCCATCCACTGTCTCTCCCCATCTCTCCCTCTCTTCATCTCTCTCTGCCAGCTCCATCTCTCTCTCTCCTTGGTTTCTCTCTTCGTCTGCTCCATCTCTGCCTCTCCCTGCCGCTCTCCACATCTCCCTGACTCCCCTTCCCTTTGTCTCCTCCCCTGTTATCTCTCCCACTCCCCCCCTTTCCCTCTCGCCCATCATCTGTTTACGTCCTCCCCTCATCCTCCTTCTAGTCAGCATACTCCTTGAAAAGAATTTTAAAAATTTCATTTGGAGCAGGGTGCGGTAACCTAGTGGCTAAAGTCCTTGCCTTGAACACGCTGGGATCCTATATGGGTGCCAGTTCTAGTCCTGGCGGCCCTGCTTCCCATCCAGCTCCTTGCTTGTTGCCTGGGAAAGCAGCTGAGAGAGGACGGCCCAAAGGCTTGGGACCCTGCACCCACGTGGGAGACCCGGAAGAGGCTCCTGGCTGCTGGCTTTGGATTGGCGCAGCTCCGACCATTACAGTCACTTGGGGAGTGAATCATTAGACGGATGATCTTCCTCTCTCTCTCTCCTCCTCTCTCTCTCATATATACACACACACACATATATACAGAATCTGACTTTGCAATAAAAATAAATTTTTAAAAAAGTTTCATTTAGAGCATTCATGAAGTATATTATGTGATTGTCATTGGTCATACAAGTAGACACAAGATGGTTTTTATTAATCTATTCAAAATTCTGAAGTTTTGAGCTTCTGAGCTATCCGTAATACCTTCCAACATAAACCCCCTAACCAACTCCATCTGTACTCAGACTCTGCTCGTGCCTGCTACACTTTGTCAGCCCCCACACACGTTCTGTCTTCTCTATCCCCCTCCCTGTTCTCTACCTCCCTGTATTTTTGTTTCTCCTTTCTTTCCACAGTCCACAATTTATACCAAATTCGTTTCAAACTAATACAACCCCCCCATTAGTAGAAATTCCTTTTGCCCTCACCTACCTTTTTTTTAAATTTATTTGTAAGACTTGTGTGTTCTGTGTGGAAGTGAATGTGCTGCAGACATCCTCTGTGGTCTAACGTGGGCAAGTCCTCCTCTAGGCTAACTGAGCACAGCCCCTCATCCATGTGGACACACTGCCTGATGTAGTTACCCTTAAGGAAGGAAAATTCTCTACCTTTGGGGGGAAAAACACCCACTCAAAACTATCTCCATATGCCATGTGTTGGTATTTTTAGTTCATACTTGAACACACAGCTGTGAACTATTTGCTTAAAGGCTGTTGAACTGGTTATTGCAGATACATTTTATTTTCTCAATCTTGTGTTCATAGGAAGTCCAGTATCCACCTCGGAGTCAGTGTTGAAAACAACCCCAGAGGCACCGGATGCAGCCAAGGTACGGTGATCAAATGCTCTCTGAAGGCCATGCATTCCAAATTAAGTGAGGAATTAATTTAAATGATACCCTGGTATAGTGAGTGAAGCTACCACCTGTGGCACTGGTGTCCCATCTGCTCCACTTCCAATCATACTGCTGTGAAAGCAGCTGGAGATGGCCCATGAGACCCAGAAGAAGCTCCTGGCTTCAGCTTGGTCCAGCTCGAGCCATTTGGGAAGCAAACCAATGGAGGGACAGTCTCTATTTTAAAAAGTAAGATCTGGTGCTGGTTGGGATACCTGCGTCCCGTGTTGGAGATCCTCGTTTGTGCCCAGGAGCAGAGGTGGCCCAGGCACGGGGCCTCGGCTAACCTGGCTCCGGCCATGGCAGGCGTTAGAGGCGTGAAGCAGCACAGGAGCACTCTGCCCACCCTTGTTTCTCTGCCTGTCAGAATAAGTAACAGTAATAGCCATTGTTGGCGGAGGGAAATGGGCGCCCTCGTGCACTGACAGTGTTCATCATAATGAGTAGGTTTTGGGGACAGAATTTGGAAATTCAATGAACATTGTATCAACCGTCTGCAATTTAAACCCATTGTGGACTGCTGATCTTCCGAAGTACCGAATTCCTTAACTCCAACAGAGGCTGAACCCAGCTTACCTATTTATTCTTGAAACATTCGTGTTGGTTTGCTAAATGGCTTAAGGAGTAGTGATGCGATGTATAACCTCTTTAAAATAATCTATATCTACAAATGTGGTTTTAGGTTCTGGACTCCTTTGCACACCTGCCACCCCTCCCAGAGCCACCACCGCTATTACCTGAGCTGGTAGACAAGCTTCGAGACACACTCCCTCCCCAGAAGCCTGAGCTCAAAGTGAAACGGGTTCTGAAGCCCAAGGGCATTGCTCTGACGTGGAACATCTCCAAAATCAACCCCAAGTGTGCACCTGTGGAAAGCTACCACCTCTTCCTGTGCCACGAGAATGCCGGTAATAAGCTGATTTGGAAGAAGATTGGAGAAATCAAAGCCTTACCGCTCCCAATGGCCTGTACTTTATCTCAGTTTTTAGCTTCCAACAAGTATTATTTTACTGTCCAGTCAAAGGATATTTTTGGGAGATATGGACCATTTTGTGATATAAAATCTATCCCTGGGTTTTCTGAAAACCTTACCTAAAAGAAGTGTCTTCAGTAATTACATATTGTGTGCTGTATGTTCTGTTTTCATGTTTGGGCTTTTATTTTACAGTGTCTCAAGCACTACTTGCCATTTAAAGGGCCAGTTCAGATTGGGAACCCTGTCACAGGGACAGGTGCTTTTCATATATTGAGTCATATGTTTTCATGAATTTCTGAATTAGTTTTGTACTCAGTAATGTGCTTCTGATGTCTGCGTTGTGAAAGATGACACTGTCATGGACCCATGTGGCTAAGGTGCGTTGAGCAGTGCCTTCAGTAACCACAGAGTTACCGCTGCTTATATCCGGGCCCTAGAATAAAATCGGCCGTGGACTGTTTTGTCGACAGCTGTTGGTGACTGGCTTGTTGGTCAGTTTAGCTACAAGAAAGAGGCCATTCCTAGGCTGCATCTCCACGAAGGTGATGTGACGTCCTCCCATTCTGTTCACGTTCAGAGTGCAATGTGTATGCCTCCTTTTTGTGGGGCGTAGGGTCCATGTCAGTCTTTTGAGGGAAGTAATCTCTTAAGTCTGTGTGTCGTTATGTCTAAATAACATGTTCTATGTACACAAAACAGTGCCTCTTAGGAAAGCATCATATGACCTACTGTTTCAACCTCAAATGTAAGTTACTTGATTGCCTAAATAGCTACCATTTGCTCATTTCCTGGTTGCTGTCAGTATTCAGAGAACATAACACTAAGAGGCTCATGCTGATGTCTCGTGCACACCTGTACCTAGAGAACACTGAATGAGGCTGTGACTAAACGTGGCCCAGAGACGGCAGTGTCCTCCAGGGCCTAGTGCGGGCCAGTTACAACTGCAGCTGGCCTGTGGAGAAAACAACCCTGCCTGTGAGAATGTTGGAAAGAAGGGCATTCTTCCTTGATATACGTTCTGGGATTTAAAAAATGAGTGCTTTCCCTTGATTTGTGAATGCTTTAACATCTTCACTAAGAAAAGTGTTTTTTGTAGGTTTTTTTTTTTCCTTCAGGCTCCAGTGTTTGTCTAAAACATAACAAAGAGCCAGATTCTATACCCTACATAGTGAGGAGAATTGGCCTCCTCGAGGTTCACCTTAGGCTCAGGGACTGCAGGGGGATGGGAGATGCCCTGCAGTGCAGGACAAGGAGTTCATCTTGGGCAAGGCTTGGACCCTCGGGGTGATGCGAATTAGCAAAGACCTGGCACCAAGAGCAAGATCTTGAAGGCCATCACTGAAGTTGAAGCTACTGAAAAAGCATCTGCAAGCCTGATGAGTTCACATGCCTCAAGGAGATTTCACACTGAAGGCGCCAAGGCAGACAGCTTTGAGGGGGACCTTCAGCAGCATCACCGTCTCCTTTGTAGAAGCAAAGGCGAGAGTCTCCATCTCACTACCATTGACACAGGAAGAGAGTCAGGCTAAGGACAGACGAGCACCTCACCCCAGGAAGCAAGTGTCTGTCTTCCTTAAGCCACAGAACCACACTAACCAGTGCGCTAACATTGGTGATACCATAAAAAGCTAAGGGGCCACACACAACAGCCACGAAGCCCAGGGCCTCCGCCTTGAGCACATAAGAGAGGAACCTGTGCTGCAACTTACTGGATTTTAACGTTGGGACTGCTCATGTACATCACAGTCCATCACATATACTCATACTCACACCCAGGGCCACAGATGTAGGGAACAGTGTCGTGACTGCCTGGTGCTCTAATGGCCACAGTTACACTGTGCATACCATACTGAAGTGCTCGGACACATGGAACATGAAAAGTGCTCCAGCTTGAAACCCCAGATACACAGTCTGGTTTTACCAGAGCACATTTCTAAGCTGCAAGGTAAAAGGAAAGCAAACCTTTGGTTCTCCGTGAGAGGGACCCTCTGACACAATATGAAGCACAAGGTGGAGGAAGTTAGGGTTTCAGACAGTGTCTCTGTAGTTAAGTTGGAGCTGCCTGTGCCAGGATTGCAGTTTGCGGCTGGGTCAAGATTGGAAAATACTTCCTGAAATGTTGGAAAGCACAAGTGGAACAGGCATTGTGAGGACAGGGCATCAGTGTGGCAGGTGGAGGGCTTGTTCCCAACACCGTGACCTCACAGCTCCCTTTGCTATGCAGTGACGAGGTGCGTGTGTGTGCCACACCGTGCTTTCTCAGCCTGTGACTCCAGCACGTGAAGGCTGTAGTGTGCAGACAGATGCACAAGCAGCCTTGCTCCCGGCTGGCTTGACCCAAGCTGGCTCCAGGCTCAACACCAGACGCACGGAGACTGCGTGGCCTTTTCTACCATTGGTCACCCTTGGCCCTTGTTCTGGGAAGTTGAATAGCATGGCAGTTTGCCCAGCCTTCAATGGAAAGCAGCATGTGCCATACACTACTGGGCTACAGAATGGATGCTCGGGTCTGGAAGCAAGATTTGGGCAGCTCCTTCCATCCTTCTGAGCCTCCTGTCTGCAAAATGAAGGCAGTGCAGACCTGTACTCAAGAACTGCCTGCTTCTTCCTAAGCCTGTATCCACCTCCTCTTTCCCTTCACCCTTCTCCCTTTTTCCTTATGTAACCAGTTCTGTGTGAGACTAGCACAGAACTTTTCTTGTATCTGGAGGGAGGGGAGAGGCCACACCCAGCCTCGCACCCATCCCAGGGTCCCCAATGTGGGGCATGCTGCCAACTCTTGGCTGGTGTAGTTGATCAATTTGTTTTTTAATTTACATCTTTTTTTTAAGAAAAAAATATTTTCATTGGAAAGTCAGATTTACACAAAGAAGAGGTCCTCTGTCCACTGGCCCACTCCTCAAGTGGCCATAGCAGCTGGAGCCAAGGGAGCCTCCTCTAGGTCTCCCATGCAGGGGCAGGGTCCCAGGGCCTCAGACCATGCTCTGCTCCCCTCCCAGGCCACAAGCAGGGAGCTGGATGGGAAGCAGAGCAGCCAGGACAGGAACTGGCACCCACATGGGATCCCAGCAAATGTGAGGTGAGGATTTAGCCACTCAGCCACCATGCCAAGTCCTTAGTAAGTTCTTTCAAGTAACAATAAAATAAATAAACCTCTTAAAAATATAAAAGATATTTCAAATATACAAATAATTCATACAAACAACTGTGTGCCAAGAATTTGGAAAATCTGGAAGAAATAGGTTTTTGGAAGCATACAACCTACTTTAGTTATGAGGACATAAAAAACCTGAATAGACCAGTAACTAAGATGAAGATTAAATCAATAATAAAGACTGCTGCCACAAAGGAAAACCCAGAACTAGACGGCTTCGCTACAGAACTCCACCAAAGGCGAGAGGAACCAATTACAATTCTTTCTGAGCTATCTGAAACAACTCAAGGGGAGAAATCCTTCAGTGAGCCAGCATCACCTTAATTTAGGATCAGAGACACAACAAAGAAAATGGACCAATATCACTGATGAACATGGACAGAAATCTTCAACAAAATACTAGAGAACTGAATCCCAAGATGCATCAGATACAGGATACTGTTCACCAGACTAAGTAAGATTCGTCCCTGATATGCAGGGATGGTGTGGAGCCCGGCTGGCTGACAGAGTTCCAGTCTCCTAGCGACTAAGCTTCAGTCTGCTGAAGCTGTTGATAATGTTGCTGCCCCCTCTGCCCTGCTTTCCAAAGATAAGCTTGTCTGGTTTCCCGTCTTACCGTATTGCCCTGCATACTGAAGATAAGTTTGTAGCTTCCCGCTTCAAATTTGTAATTTCCTACCAAGACAGTATGGCCAATAAAAACATGACAAAAGATGTTCACTAAACGCTGGCCAATTATTCCAGCGCTTCTGTGGGGGAAGAAAAAAAAGCCCTAACCGAGCCGAGGTGTCCAGGCTGGAGCTGATGGCAGGTGCAGGTTGGGGCCTCCATCCACTCCTGCTGGGGTGGTGACGGTAAGACCTGGCTCGAGCCTGAATGAAACCTTCATGCCGGGCCCTATCTCTGACTTTGTCATGAAAATAAATCTTAAAAAAAAAAGAAAGAAATCTGAAAATAGATCTACTAAGTGACCCAGCCATCTCATTGCTGGGTATTTGCCCAAACAAAATGGAACCAGCATATAGGAGAGTTATCCCTTATAGGAGCTCAATTCATAATGTCTAGGGCATGGCATCCACCATCCTGACAGATGCCCATCAGTCCATGAGGATAAAGAAAATGTACACAGCCATGAAAGAACAAAATCCTGCCTTTTGCAACTAAGTGAATGCAACTGGAAGCCATTTGGCTTAGAGAAATAAACCGATACCAAAAAGATGGACATCATAGGATTACTAAAGCACAGAGTTCAAAAACATGTACTCCGCAGGTGCCAGGGTGGCATTCTGCGATTACTGTGGGGCGCCTTTGCGTACAGTCCGGGCTTTGTTCTTTGTTCTACGTTATCACTTTCTGCTTATCGTGCATTGACATGTTTACTTATCGGGGTGTCAAACGTGGGACTGCAAAGTGCAATGAGAATATGCTATTCTAAGAACTGGAAGGAAGGAAAAGAGAGAAGCAATAAACAAACCTACTTCTTGCCATGTGCTCAACAGCCTCAGGCACCAGGGCCTTCCTGCCTGGGGTGCCGTGCCTCCCCTGCCTGCCTGCACGCATGTTCAGCCACAGCTTCCTGCAGCACATGCACTTGCCGAGCCTTCCTGGCACCCATCTCCACCCCCTGGCTCTCACCCCTACCCTCTCTGCCCCCACCCCATGTCTGTCCTGGCTTCCTCTGTGGGCCAGCACTCTCCCAGCCACACCTCTGCCCGCACCACTTCCTTCGGCTCGATGCTGAGGCTGCACTGTGGGAGGTGCCCTGTCCTCCAGCTGGACCCTACGCCCTCCCCTTTGCTGCCAGGCCCGTCCTTCACCAGGCTCCGCATTTACTGCATCTCAGATGGCCCCTGGTCCATCACGTTTCCCCCAAGTTGGATGAGTTCTCTCTCCCCTACACGTGTCTTCCTTACTTTAATCTTGATCAGCTCTAACCTGCACTGCACTAGAGCGCCGCCCGTGGAGGGGGTGAGGGGACAGCGCGGTGAAGGCAAGACCACCACACAACACCAGCATCCCTGGTGGGCACCAGTTCAAGTCCTGACTGCCCCACTCCCATTTCAGCTCCCGGCTACTGTGCCTGGAAAAACAGCCGGCCTGAGTCCCTGAACACACGGGCGAGACCTGGAAGAAGCTGCTGCTCCTGGTGCTGGCCTGACCCAGCTCTGTGTTGTGGAACCAGAGAATGAGAGAGCTCTCTCTTCTGTCTCCTTCTTTCCTCTTTTCTCTCTCCCTTTCTAAATAAACAAATCTTACCAAAAAAAAATTTTTAAACATAAAGATCACACGCAGGCTGGGGTT